AAAAAAAAAAAAAAAAAAAAAATTTCCCAAGCTGATCTAAATCAGAACCCCAAAAGTTTAAGTCAAGAGATTTAATAGACAACAGTCTAGATTGTTCAAGCCGAGTCTGGACAATTTAATAAGACTTTGTTTCAAAACAAAAAGTAAAAAAAAAGCTAAGGATGTTGCTCCATGGTAGAGTGCCCCAGGTTCTATTCCTAGCACCACAAACAAAAACAACAGTCTACTATATATACAAAATCTTTGAGAATCCAAATTGAAAAGTACATTGGAATTTTTCATGATAGTAATCACTGCCATCATTTATTGAATGCTTAGTTTTATAGTTATGATGATACTATAATAACAACATTAATGACTAACCCTTATGTGGCAGTTAATATGCTTTAGATATTTTTTCATGCTTTTACATGTATTAACTTATTTAATTCTCACAATAACCTTATGAGGTACAAGCTCTAATTATCCCCTTTTGACTGATAAGGAAACAAGTTAAATAATTTTCTCCAAGTTAACATTGCCTATAAGTGGCAGAGCTTGGACTAGACTAACAGAGGTGGCTGGATATGAGTCTGTTGTTATAACTACTCATTACACTTTAGGCTCCTCCAGCAAAGATTAAGTAAATAAACAAATAAAGATACAGAATGAGAATACTGACTTCAGATGTGGAAAACCTGGGTCCTCTTTTTACCCCCTTCAAAAAGAATTTAAATAAATGCAGTGTTTACTTTGTTACTAAAATCATCCACTCTCCAGAACCACCCAGGCTCACACCCATGTCTGCATAAAACATCTGAAGACAGCGCAGTTTCCTAAAGCGTAACCTGTATAGCCACTTAATTTATGCCAGTTATCTGCAAAGTAAGCTAGTCTCCAACCTCAGCAGTTCTTTCCCTAAAACATTTTTAAAAACAGCATTTACATCAGAATTTCCAAACTCTCTACTCTAAAAATTGTTAGGAATATAAGATAAAGATATTGAAAAAGTGTGATCTACATCTACCAGCTGATGAAACTTAAATAACAAAAGGTCAAACAGCAGAGGTGGTAACTAAGACTCTAAAATGGGAACACTGTACCTGAGGGGTAGGGTAACAGTGGCTAAATATCTGGCCACAGTCAAACAGGCCTGAGTTGGAATCCAGGTTCCATCACTTAATGTTTTCATAAATGCAAAACATGGACGAACTCTCTCATAGGATTTCTGTGAATGAGAATAGGACACCCGGTGGAAGGCAAACACTTCATAAATGTTAGTGTCTGAGTTTTATTCTAAAGACTAAAGTCTACAGTCATCTGCTTCTGTGTCGGGCAGGAGAGCAAATGAACTGCCCTAACAACAGCTTTCTAATTTCTCCCTCTGCACTGAGAATGGTGTAGCAGTTAAGGACACTGCCCTGGGATTGTGCTCCCTTTAGCCCACTTACTAGCAGTGTGATTCCTGTGCTTCATTTTAGGTTGTGAAATGAGGATGATTGATGATAATAAAAGTACTATGCATTTTACAAGTTTACTATGAGGATTAAAATAGTTAACAGAAGAAAAATGCAAGGATCAGCCTCTGGAAGATGGTATGTGCCCAGGAAATGCTCGTCACCACCCTTTTCCCCACAAGTGATCCATTCTCAATTTTTAGCCCACATCAAATAATATTTCAGAATTCTAGAATGTTAGAGCAGAAGGGCCCTTAGGAAGCATTTCTCCAATTCTCATTTAATAAATGGCCACCAGGGAGGCCAGAGCTGGCTAAATGGCCCAACTAGGATTAATGAAAATGGCAGTAGGGGTGGGTGAGGCTTCAATTTCCCTTCTTTTCAAATTGTCAGGCCATCTTATAGAAAGAGTTGGAGTGACTTAAACATCTGGAAAGAAATTTCACTTATCAAAATTTTCAGGAAACACTGACTGCCTCAAGTAGCACTTTTTGGGGAGAGGTAGGGTACGTAGGTTATAACCTATGTCCCAAGAATCCATAGGCAAGAGATATATAAAACAAAAAACTAAAACATTAATTCCTTTCAGGAATAATTAAGCATTCTTCCATGGGAGAAAATAATACCAGGCGACATTTACTAAGTGTTTTTTAAGCATGTGGCATAATATTGCCACATAATATTTATTTTTTCATTTTCACTTATTTTTTATCAAGCATTTTATATTCTTCCTCACAACCCAATTCCCCTGCCCTGAGCCCATCTGTGTGCTGCTGCAGTTACTTATGATTTTCCTGCTCAAAGTACATATAATGCTTTTACGAAACTGCCTGCTATTTGTCTGAAAAAGGACAGGGATCATGATGATCATGTTTACCATTCATTTCTCTTTGAACAAAATATTCCTTAGCATGACTAAGACACTTGCTCACTGTGGCAGATAATATTTACCAAAGATGGTTGCAACAGAATCTCTTATCTCACAGGCTCTTCTTACAAACGTGACCTCAAGACACCTCCCATTAGAAGTAAGTAATGCTCCTTCCTTCTGAACTTGCCCACACAGTGTACAATGGAAGTGATCCCATGTGAAGATATAAAAATGCCATACATTCCCCACCTTGCTTTCCTATGGCACTTGGGATCCAGCTGCCACACGGTAAGGAAGCTACTAGGCCACACAGAAAGACAACATGGAGAGAGGTAACCAGCTAAGCAGAGGCCCTATACATTATAGAAGAGAAACAAGCCTTCCCCTCATTCAAATTCCTGATTCACAAAACCATGTCCACAATAAAATGATATCTTTACATCACTAAATTTTGGGGTGGTTTATTATGCAACAATAGTAACTAGAACAACCACCCAGAGCTTACTAACAAGGAATACTACTGAATGCATGAAGGTAACGGTCTGTCTACACCTAACATTACTGTAATTGAAACACTAAATTATTTTCTTTTTTGATTTGAGGTAGTCATTATGCCCATTTTGCAGCAAAGGAACTGAGGCTTGACAAGTTAAGTCACTTGCCCAACATACCTCAATCAGTAAGTGTCAACATACATTAAAACTCATCTCTAGGGCCCAGGATTTAGTTCAGTGGTTCCACTGCTTGCCCTGCAAGGGCAAAGTCTTGAGTTCAATCCCCAGTACCAAACAAACAAACAAAACCTCATCTCTAAACCCACATCCCTGCACCAATATACCATACTCTTCAGTTTTCCTAGTTATAATTTTATTCTAAGTACACAGTAGAATGTTTTACAGTGTGATTAGCTGTAGTACTTAACACACTCTGACCTAAGAGATTCACTGTACAGCTTTGTCACTGAGATGCCAACCCTCTCATCACCACAGAAAACAGTTCCCTGGCTTTCCTAATGGTGGTTATGCCAGTTTCCTCATCCTCCCCAGCATTCCTCTTCCTACATTATCAGTCTTGTATCTGTATCCAAAAATGTCTTAATTTGTTCCTGAGCTACAGTATTCAGACTTGAATATAAGGGTACCGTGAGAGTAATTTGTTGTGTACATTGCTATGTCTCTAGTGCCGAGGACACTGCTTGAAATATGACAAGTGATCTAAAATTATTTAGTGAATACTGGACATGGTTGTGCACACCTGTAATCTCAGATCTCAGGAGGTTGAGGCAGGAGGTTTGGCATGAATTCAAAGTCAGACTGGGATACATTATCAGGCTGGCCTGAACTACCTAGCTAGACCTTGTCTCCCCCCACCCCCCAAAAAAAACTTACCCAAAAGTGTGATTACTCCAACCCACTGAATGTCCAACCAATCTCATTATCTCATTACCATACACCGATAAATGTGAAAACACAGAGGATAAGAGAACACAATTTAAAACATCAAAATTGCAGCAAAAAAGTAATAAATTGCAGCAGAGTCATCTCACACAGTAAGGTTACTACAAGAAAATGAAGGAGGGTTTGGGATTTATCTACAACTCACCCACTTAGAAAAGTTTAAACCCTGAGTTCACAGATTTCCATCCAATTCTCAACTAAGAGTTCTTGAGGAGAAAGGTGTTCAAGCTCAGAATGAAGATATACTGTAGATGGTGGGATGGAGTAGGGGTCACATCTCCGAACCGACACTAATAACCACTGATATCCCCTCAAAAAAAAAATCAGTTTCTTCAGACTCAGTGGCTGAACTACATACATCAAGATGACAGTTAGTGAAACCCCTAACAACAGATCTTCTATCCTTCAAATGGCCCTTTCTTGTGCACCTTGGGACGCAGACGCTGTCTCCCCAGGGCAAGGAGGAGGCAGTAACCTAGCTCTTCAGGAAGAGCGACAATCTTGAGATCCAGCTCAGGAGTCCCAGGTCCTCCACGAACCTAATTCTCCCTGGAGGGAAGGTGACCGTTCCTGAGGACCTTCCAGAAGCATAGCACTAACAATCTTTTCCTAATTTTAAGGGCCATTTCTTCCCCAACCCGAGAATTAATTAAGAGGTCCTAAGTATAACTTCCCTATATTGATCTTCCCCAGACCCACTACTTCTTACCCCAATAAATTCTCAAACACCCCAGAAGCGGTTGGGGAAGATAAAGAATCTGGTGTGATCTAAGGGATAGATGGGGGGGGCTGTGTTAGTACAAGAAGGGGGTTATACTCGGTTGGGGCCAGGATCAGTAAAAGATTAAGATAAGAACGGGGTCTGACCCTTTCCAAGCCCAATGTGTCCATCAGTGGTGACGAGAAGCAGGAAACTGAAGCCCAGCAAACAGGTGGCCCCAAGACGAGGCCACATCTCCACGGTGGTTGGCGCGCGGGGCCACCCGACTGAACTGGCACAGGTCTGGAGTCTCGGCAGAAGGTCCGCTCGCTCGCTAAGCGAGGCTCAGCCCAATTCCTCGCGTTCCTAGTTTTTTTTTTCCCCCAAACTCTGAAGGAAGTGATGTTAGACGGATGTGGGTGGTGCCTCCGGGGTCCGGTTAGAGATGAAGTGAGTTTAAAGGTGCAGATCACGTAGAAGGGTCATGTGGTTGTTTCCGAGTACGGGTTGCTTTTCCCCTATCCTGGGTTCTAGGTCCGGAGGCAGAAAGGAAAAAGGTGGGCGGAGGTAGTGGGGACAGGGAGAGGTTCTCCAGAACAACTGCAGATTGCATCCGTTAGTCTAGCACCTCTTCCTGAGGACCGCTGAATTTAATATTCAAAACGCAGGTTATTGATCGGTGAGGTCAGCTTCTTCCAAGACTGGGATGCTCGCCCACTGGCCTTGAATACCCTTTCTTCCTCCTCGAATGAAAAACGACTGGACAACCAGATTTCATTGTTAGGTGCCTGCTCAGGTCTCTTCGAAACCTGATTCTGCCGTGCAGGATCTTGTGCCTTGCACACATACACTTTGTGGATGGATGGAGAATCGCCGGACCTTACCATTCTTTGCTGCCGCTAGTCTTCCACTCCGGGATGATGCAATGGTGATGCAAGCTGCAATAGTCAGACTTGGGGCCTCTTTTTGGAATATTCACTAGGAACAAGGGAATCAGGGTATAAGTCACTTTAGGCATTTAAAGTGTAAAAGTTCTTCCGGTTAAATGTTTATTGTTTTGTGGGTGGTGGATTCTTTCTTTTCTTTTTTCTTGTGTGTGTGTGTGTATTTCCTCCTACTTTGTCCGGCTTTGCTACACAGCAAACAGATCAAAATTTCCCGTCTTTCTTCCTGCTGCTAGTTTGGAATCCAACAGTTCGTACTTAAAGCACAGTGAAAGACATCCTTAAAAAAAAAAAAAATAAAAAAAGCACATACCCAAACAAAATCACACGCCTTCCTTTCAATGCATTTGGATACGGACAAATTCTAACAACAGGCACAATGGAACGCTTTGGGGAACTGCAAGCCCCCGGACTCAGTTAGTCAGCCAGCCCCTACCGCCAATAAAAATACTGGGATGCGCGGAGCAGGCTGGGCTTTGTAGTTGGGCTGTGCGCTCGCGGGATTGGCCACTGCGAGGGGGCGGGACTGGCCGAGTCACGTGGGTCTCGCGCCCGCTGCCACCGCAGCCGCAGCCTCCGCCGTCTTTCTCTGTCTCGGCCGAGGCAGCCATCTTGCTCTTACCGCGTGCTGCTGTTGGAGAACCCTCCCTGCTTCAGGTGAGCCCCCCGGCGGTCCCGCCACTCCACGGCCCTAGGCCGCTGCGCACGGTGTTTCCCCCGCCCTCTTCCTCCGACACCCGCCAACCTCTCAGGCTGGCACTTCCGCCGTAGCTCGGCGAGTGGGGGCGGAGGCGACTGGCTCGGCCTGTCGCTCACCTGCGGCGCAGCTGGGGGTCGGCACCTGAGGGAAGGTCCCCAAGCATCACCGCCCCTTGTAGAGGCGGTCGGGCCGGTGCTGTGGCCGTCCGGAGCCGCCATCCCAGAAGGCGGGCAGATCCCCCTCTCCCTTCCCGTTACGCCTCATTATTCACAGCAACAGTGTTACGAGCTTTGCGCTTTGTACAGCTTATCTATGTTGTCATCTCGTTAATGCGCCCAAGCTACAGATGGGAAAACTGAGGTTAGCACTCCCGACCCCAAGCTCTTGGGACTGAACTCGGTTGCAGCGCTCTTCACCTTGTAATGGCAGTTTTGTTTACAAAGTGGTTACCTTTTGAGATACTGCCTGGTGATTGCTGGACAGCCACATTATTACACCGCTTGTGAATGGTGGTTTCAACTTCCGTTCTCAGGTTTTTACGCAGTATTTTAGCCGTACCCTCGTTGGTTATCACTTATCGAGTATCTTCTAAGAACCGAACCCTGTGCTGCCAATGTAACACTTAACACAGACTAACCTCAGGAAGTATGTAGTGCTACATCTTTTCTAATGCCAAGAGGATCACAAATTCAAATTAGTAAAATAACTTTGCGAAATCTTAAATGGTAGCCTTGGTCTTCCTGATTTCACCTGTACTTACTTTAGCGAAACCTCAGAAAAAGTCACAACTAACAGTTAAAAGTATTTTTATCTCTGTAAAATATGATGTAGGTGAAAGAGCCTACCGCAGCACTTGGAACTTGGGCACTCAATTTGTATTAACCTCATTAATAGGCTCTTTCTTGAGTCCATGGGAAATGCTGACAGATCCTTGGATTCCCAAGGAAGCATTCATTAATCATGTGACTGTAGGACATTATTATTCCTTTTCGTCATAGAAAGGAACCTTGTTTTCTGTCACATTGGGAAGGAGATGAACTTTTATTGATGTCCTGCTGCTGCTAGCAGGTATTTATGATGACCTCACATATGACAGGAATGACAAGTACAATAAAGATTGACAAATAGGGAATTAAACCAGGTGATCTTTGAGTTCTACTCCAAGATTCTGAGCTTGACATTTCTTCTCTCAGACTGAATCCAGTCCTCTTTCCTACTTGAATTCTACACACACCAACTTGCTAATAGACAAAGGACCACACGTCTCTCCCTACTGCTGTGAGCTTCTAGCCTCCCTAGAATATCTTTTCTCTGAGATACTCCTTAGGAAGATTGTTCAGTTCTGTTATTCTAACACTTGGAATCTGTTCTTTCATCTACACGTTGATTTAAAGAAGTATTTTTGTTCTTGATTTTGTTTCAAACAAGTCAGGATTTATATCTTGTCTTCCTAACCTCTGTCTCATCTTTTGGGGATTATTACTTCAAAATGAAGAAGAATCCCAAAGGGTTTATCCCTGTGTTTATTTCTAGTATTTTCACTTAGTGTTCTTTTTGTGAGAAATTCCTTAAGCTCTTTGTTAGTTGTTTACACCTTTGTGGACACATTCTTTTGAGAAAAGTGAATATTGATCCTTTTCTGTGGATATTTGAATAAAAAGATTGGGACTTACACAATCAGATTTAAGTCTGTGGCAGAGCTCAGATTGGCACACACCTAACACTTGTTTTGCACTGTATACAGAATTCTGATAAAAATGTTTCCAGCTGCTTGAGCATTGATGTACAATGCTGAACAAAGAGAAATCAGATTCTAATTGTTACTTGGGAACTGGACTTTAGCCTTAAAGCAGAGATATATACAGGTTTTATAAAATTCAGTATCAGTAAAGAATGTTTAGTAATTATATAATCTTTGATTTTTCTTTCTTTCATCTCTCAATTGAAAGCATTATTTGTTTTTTATCTGAAACGCAGAGTTAAGAGAATTGGCCAAAACGTTTAATGGCCTTTCTCCTTATTCCCTCTCTCACATCGCAGAATTTATCTATTGAGCCACAGAACAAATCAAACAAGATTTTTAATAGACCTTTAAATTGGCTTCTTTTTTGTTGTTGGTCATGCTATTGAGAATAGAATCAGGGATACTACCACTGAGCAACACCCCCAGCCCTTTTTTAACTTTTTATTTTCAGACAAGGTCTCTCTTTAAGTTGTCCAGGCTGGCCTGGAACTTGTGCAGTCCTCTGCCTCAGCCTCCTAAGTGAGTGGAATTACAGGCATCTGCCACCATGCACGGATTAAATTGGCTTTTATTTGTTTATATAATGTCAAATGTTAAGATTCATTATAAATTTAAGAATGTTTTCTTTAGTAGAACTATCATTAACCAGACTAGAACTTATGGTTTTGTAATGTTCTTAGAATATTCAAGAGCTGTAAAAACCTTATTTTGAAACATCCCTTCAATTTAGTAATTAATGTAGTTGAGATAACATTTTTGTCAAATTGTGCAGTGGAGCATTTTACCCTTTATGCAAGAATATCTTGATAAGTGTGACATACTGTGTCAGTGCAAGGTATTGAATGAATGTTGGAGTGCTGCAGAAGCACTGAGTGTCTGGAAATCTTGTTCTGTTTCCCCATTATTAACACCTCATCTGACCTTGAATAGAGGACGTGACTATTCTCCTATCTTGACAGCTAGACAGTTTATTGTTGAATTTTTTTTCCACCTCATTTTCCTTTTGTCATCTGTGTGGTTTATAAGAAATGCAGGATGCGATTTAGGAGATGATCTACTTGAAGGTTTTCTTAATAACATTTGGTAACAGTTCTCTGCTGTAAAATTTTTGAGGAGAAAACTGGCTTGCCTATGGAAATTTCATAATTGTTAGGTTTTACTGAATGCCAAGGAATTGAATCATGTTTTTAAGGAGGAATCTTCAATAAGTGACTTAGAATCCCATTCTTTTTTTGTTGTGTATTTTATTACCTTGGGATATTATTTTAATTTTGATTTTTAAAATATCTGATTTATGAAGCAAATTATTAATATTAAGAATATAGATAGTATTATGATCATGATGTTATTGCATACTGAAAGCTCAGCGAACCAAAAGGTACTGTTTGCATAAACAGTTTTTTAAGATTTTTGGTAAAAGAGTGACTTTAACAAATCTATTTTTCCCCCCCTAGATTTACCAACAGCATGAATCAAGAAAAGTTAGCCAAACTTCAGGCTCAGGTCCGGATAGGGGGCAAGGTGAGTGTGGCATAAGAAAACTGACAGGAGAATGTATGATTACCAGATAATAGTATTATTTTGGATTTGTGGTCATTGAAAATTTAAAATCCTTTCAATAATATCAAACCACATTCCAATTTGAAAATAATTTGTCTAAATCTGAAACAGACTTTTCTTCTGATGGTGCGCAATAGAAATAGCCACCTTTGTTTGAATTCTAACTGCTAGTTATGTAACATAAAACATAAAGTTACCTAATCTTGTTACGCGTCCAGTTTTTTCATCTGAAAAATAGAAATTATCCCCAAAGATGCTTAGAATAACACAAGACACCTAACATGGTATCTGGCACAATGTAGATGCTCAATTAAGTAAATGACATGTTAGACTCACCTGCAGGGTATGCCAGTTGTTAGGGATTCCTCACCTTGACTGAATGAACCTACTGGTAGAGTTAGGTTCGCAAGAGGTTTAGCTGGGGATGCTCTAGAGGATTATGTAGTATTTTTTTGACTGCCAAATTTGCCCCCCAAATTCATACCTATGTTCTATGTTGGTGAAAATGAACATGAATTTTCTTATTCCATGTACTTTAAGGCCTAAGGAACTGCTTGTTCTGAGCTCCAAAAATCTTTTTATTTCTCTTCAGCTATGGCTCCACCCTCGAGGAGAATATTTTACCCTTTCTTATCTTTGCCCAATACAGTGTTTGCAAAAGTAAAAGGGAGCTGGATGTGGTGGTACATGCCTGTAAATCCCATCACTCAGGAGGCCAGAGAATCACTATTGGTTTTAGGCCAGCCTGGTTTTTATAGCATGAGGCCTTGTCTCAAAAAAACTGGGAAAAAAAAATTTTTTTTTTTTTTTTAAAGTAAAAGGGGGCCAGGGATTTAGCTCAGTGACACCATGCCTGCCTTGCAAACACAAGGTCCTGAGTGCAATCCCTGGTACTGGGGCGGAGGGAGTAAAAAGGAGAACAGTATTTATCAGACCTACAAAAAAGGTAGTAAGTAGATAGTGCAGGGCCCCCTGTATCATTTACATTGGTGATGACCACAGCCTCTGAGGATGGAGACAGGAGAGGGGAAAGGAAGAAGAGGCAAGTACTTTCTTCTTTCATAGTGATACAGTTGTGTGAGTCTGGCATAATATTAATACATTCATGTAACCACAATAGTCACATTGTATCCTCCTAAGTGTGATGTAATATACCAATACAAAAACCAGAGATATTCAAGAACACTACACCTGGAAAGACTTGATGCAGTGCATCACTACTGTATATTCTAAACCAATGGTTGATCATTTGCTCATTTATTTCCTGTTTACTGTGCACTTAACCATGTGCCCAGCACATAGTAGATAAACAAGATATGCTTTGGACACAGCTGAGTTTGGAAGAGAGACATGCTCATAATTATAATAAAGAATAATGAGTATATAATGAAGTACGCAAGGTGCTTTTGCCTAGGGGGCAAAAGCTGGGATTTAAAGGATTAATGACTTTATTATTAGACAGATGAAAGACTTTATGGGAGAAAGGATAAAAAGAAGATTGTTATTTCCCACACATGTAAAGAACATAGGGTTGTAAAATAACGTGATGCTCAATGGAATGGCTTACTTTAGTAGAGCTAGAGTGTAGAGTCTATAATGTACAGAGAATAGGAGGAAATCAAATGACCAGTTAGTTTGGAGGTTCCATCATCATTTTATATGCCATACTAAGGAGCTTGTGATTTTATCTTGTAGGCAGTGAGCAACTATTGAAGAATTTTAAGCAGTAAATGACAGCCATTTTAGAACAGTAACTGCTGGCAGTGAGGAAAACAGAATGAAATGAAAGTTTACCATAGAGACAATTGAGAAGCTGTTGCTATACATTATGAGACACAAATCTAGAGGTTGGAATTGACATGGCTTAATGACTTGTGCAATATGGGGGATATGAAGGGCAGAGAGTAGTGTGAGGTAATTCCCAGACTTCTGGTTTTAGAAACTAGGTTTATGGGGTTTATATGTGTACAAGATACACAACTTAAGGAAAAAGATTTGGTGGACTGATATGTTACATTTGAGGTACCTGAGGATCATTTGACTTGAGTAGGCAGCAAGGAACTGATCTATGAGAGTCAGGAATGCTTCACAAATACACGACCATTTATGTAGATAATGATCCCTCCAGCAGTTCATGTCTTTACAATCTACTGCTGGAGCTCTTGCATTGGACTTGCTGACTAAAGCCCAATTCCTTTTTTTATTTTTTTTTTGGTATTGGGGATTGAACTCAGGTCCTTGCACTTGTAAGGCAGGTGCTGGAACCACTGAGCTAAGTCCCCAGCCCCCCTTCCCCCCACCTCCGTTCCTTTTTTACTCATGGTTTTAGGAAGATTTTTATTTTTATTTTTTGGTTTTTTTGAGACAGGATCTCATTATGTAGCTTACACTGGCCTTGAACTCACTATGTAGCTCATGCTGGCTTTGAACTCAGCAGTTCTCCTGCCTCACTGCCTGAATGCTGGAATTACAGGCATGTGCCACCACGTGTGCCCAGCTAGTTTCAGGAGTTTTAACCCTCAAAACTTAGATTGCTTTTTGCCAGGGATTTAGTTCATTGGTGCTGCCACCTGCCTGGCAAGTGCAAGGTCCCAAGGTCAATCCCCATTACCAAAAAAAAAAAAAAAATTAGATTGCTTTTGGTTGTGTTTGAGTTCTGCTTTAGGTTATATAATATATATATATATATATATATTTTTTTTTTTTTAGCCCAATAATTTAACCTATTATTTTAAATAGTTTTCCATGAAAAAAATGTATTTAAGGTTTAAAGTATCAATATAGAAGTAACCTTGTGTTATTTCAGTAGTGTAATTTTCAATCTTTTGCTCAGGCCAGAATCCTAAGCACCATTCTAGATTCTTCTTTTCCTCATATCCTATGTCTAATCCATCAGAAATCATGTTGTCTTGTGATAGACTTACTACCCCTCAGCATCTTCTCTGCCACTACCCTCTTCTCTCACCAGGATTGCTATAGTAGCCTCCTGATTGTTCTCATAGTCTGTTTTCCACACAGCTACATTAGTCATAAGTAAATAGATTAAGTCATCTCCATATTTAAAACTGTTGAGAGGCTTTCTGTTACAATTAGAATAAAATCTACCTCCTGTCCATGAAATGTTAGGCTACGTGATCTGGCCCTTATCTATCTTTCTGATTGTACTTTTCCTCCTCCTTCCCCATTATACATTCTGCTCTAGCCATATTGGCCTGCTTTTTCTCTCTAAAAGGACAAATTCAATCTTGTTTCATTTTGCTTGGATCTCTTTTCCCCTAGATGTTGGTCTCAACACGTTACCTCTTCAGGGGGGGCCTTTCCTGATCATTCTAATAAAGTATTGCTTTGCACCCATCCACTCTTAATTATTGTGTTCCTGTTTTCATTTTGTTTTGTTTTTCATAGTAGCCTTTATCCTGTTTGAAATGACCTAATTTGTTTATGTATTGACTTCACTCTTACTGTAATGTAAGAACTTGATCTTTTTCGTTCCTAGATTCTTAGACTCTAGAACACTGTCATAGTAGACCTTAATTGTGGTAAAGGCTGAATTCTGTAAAATGTTTAAAAATTGTTGCATAAATACCCTAAGGTGTCTTAAAGTTGTATTTTAAAACACAATGTGTTTCAGGTTAGGTTTTGGATAAGAATAAGAATTGTCTGTTCCCCCTCTAGGTATCTTCCTGAAACAGTTAAAGATATCATATTGCAGTGATACGTGTATACCCATATTTATAGCAGTGCAGTTTATAATAGCTGAATCTTGAGAACAACCTGTGTCCATCCACACATGAATGGAAAAAGAAAATGTGGTATTTATACACAATAGAGTACTACAATGCCATAAAGAATGATAAATGTGTCATTCATAGGAAAATAGATGCACCTTGAGACCATAATGTTAAATGAAATAAATCAGATACTCAGGCCAAGATTATAAATAAACAGCAAAAGGGAGATCTTTTGCAAAAGGGAAGCAGACCAAGAGATGGGAGAGGGGAGTAAAAAAAAAAAAAAAAAAAAAGAATTAAGATGTGTTATGTACATGTACCAACTCCTTGTAATTGTTATATATTGCAAACATAAAAAATAAGTGGATAGAGAATATCTAAAACTGGGCTTCAAAAATCTGGGTTAGGCTAACAATTGTAATTCTGAATAGTCTTATTAAATCATTACTATTTAGTTTTTTTATGATAGATTATTGTGACAGGAAAATGTGGTTGCTGTTGTTGGTTGCAAGGTAAGCTAACATTTCTGATCATTTTTTCAGGGTACAGCTCGCAGAAAGAAGAAGGTGGTACATAGAACAGCTACAGCTGATGACAAAAAGCTTCAGAGTTCTCTGAAAAAACTGGCGGTGAATAATATAGCTGGTATTGAAGAGGTATGATCACTTTGAAAACTTAAATTACATGGGCAAATAGGACATACACAAATAATTGTCTAGTTTTTCAAATGTAAAATATGATCATAGAAGAATCTTCAGTATTGCCATTCAGATGTCTTTGAGGGACTTGTAGCTATTGAATTTGCTTTTTGGTTGAAATTGAATGACTTTAGTGGACAGTTAAGGATTTTCAGACGCAGAGTATTTGCATATATGACAAATATGGAAATGTTCTTGAATTTTAATTTTTCTGATAAAAATTAACAGTAGGATTTCTTCAAATATAGTAGAATTTTTTTACATTACTATACAAAACCTCTTACTACCTCATCCAAAAGCCTCAAGCAATATACTGGATTGTATTTATTAGGAGTCTCTCAAAAGTTAAATTGAATTTTAAAATCAGTTCATTGCATTTTTTTTTTCCCCGAGATAAGATCTTGCTAGGTAGTTGGACGTCCTTGAATAAACCATGTAGCCCAGGCTGGCCTTGAAGTGATCCGCCTGCCTCAGCCTCCCGAGTGTCGGGATTATAGGCACACACCATGCCTGGCTACTTTATTGCTTTTTTTTTTTCCTTCTGGTATTGTGAACTTAGCACCTTGGGCTTGCCAGGCAGGCACAGCACCACAGAGTTACATCTTTGGCCCTACTTCATTGCATTTCGATGTTATGTTTTTCTAATGTGAGATCAAAGATGAACATTACTCTAAAAGATAAAAGTATAACAACTACTTATCTGTTTTCATATACCTCTGCCCAGTGATTCCATTTCTTATAGTAACTGGTGTTCACATTTTCACTGCCATAGGTTAGATGATTTAATTATGTCATTATTCTATGGGTACCACCTCACAATTTTTAATAGTTTATTAATGTGTATTGCTATACACCATGAATCAGAAATAATAATAATAATAGGGAATCACTAATAAAGAAATAACTGCATCTGCGTGGCAAGCATTAAGGTGTCCTGAGTTGGTTCTGGAAAAACAAAACATAACAAAGTATCAAAGAAAAGGAAGTTAGATGGCAAAGGGCTCCATCATACATGTATGAGTAAATAAAATTAATATAATTTAAATTTGATTTGTATTTTTAAAACCAGTATACTAGTAAAACAGTACAAAGTACAAGCCATATGCATCTTATTTCTTTTCAACTTGATGTGACTGCATTTTTACAAAGATTAGAATTTATTCACAAATCCTGAAGTTAAATATTTTATATACCTTATTTTTTTCTCAGCTGGTGAAAGTTTTTATGTATTTTCATTGACCTAAAAATTTCAGAGAAATCATTCTCCATCTGGGATATATTTTAGAAAAAAAATAAAAACAAAACAAAAAAAATCTAGGTTTTTTTAAACTTAAAAATCTAGAATTTGGGCTGGGAGTGTAACTCAGTGTTAGAGGGCTTGGCTAATGGTGAGGCTCTGGGTTCAATCTGCAGCAGCACCAAAGACAGATAGATAGATGGATAGATGGATGGCCAACTAAAACTTGATTAAAAAGAAGTAAGTTACAACAGTAGGCAGGAACTTAGATAATGTTAAATCTAACCTAATTGTAAATGTTTAATGTGCAGTTTAATATTTTTGTCCACCTTTCTAGTTTTTTAATGCCTCTACCTCCTCAACCTCAGCATTGTTGACACTTTGATGCAGATAATTCTTTGTTGTGGTGGCTGCCCTGTATCTTATAGGATGTTCAGCAGCATCCCTGCTCTCTACCCACAATATTCAATCCCATATGTTCTCCAAAAATTTTCAAATGGTCCATTGGAGACAGAAATCAACCTTGGTTGAAAAACACTTCTTTGGAGAGAGGAAAAGTATATGTATTTCTTCCTTGCTTTATAGATTTAACTGTACTATTTTCAAGGGCATATTTTTCTGAATGTTTGTTTTTGGCCAAATTTGGAAGGCTGTATTATTATAATTAAAGTTTTTAATGGTGGAGAAGCATTAATTTTACAAATGTTTTATAATGAAATAAGCAGTAATCTTTTTCTTCTCCCCTTGGTGATGGGAATTGAATCCAGGATCTTGTACAGGCTAGTCAAGCACAGAACACTGAGCTAAATCCCCAGCCCTCATTGTAATCTTTGCTTTCTTTATAATACTACGAAACTTGTAATGTTGTGCAAGGTCAAGGTATTGTTGTATTTTGAATTTTCATAATATAACACTTAGTGATAGTCAACACTTCTTGAATGTCTACTGTGCCAACCATTTTCCCAAGTACTTACTAGATAGTGGTAAATAAAATATTATTCATGATCTCTGTCCTTTGTAGCTTATACTCTATTCGAGAAACTAGACAGCTAGACATAGAAATATGTATTACCTCATTTCAATCACACAATATCTCTTTGAGTTGGTTGTAGGTAAGAGCCAAGGCTGAAGTTAGGTACCAAAGTAAAATCATATAGCCAATAAATATTGCAATTCCAGGTTTGAAGTAAAGTATGTCAAAACCACAGTTGTAAATTTCATTAATTTATCCTGCTTTTGGTATTTTCAGTTATACATTCTTGTACTTATTCTTGGCCTTTTGCTCTCCTCCTATCTCCCTCATACTTCATCAAAAAAAGGATGGTAAGAGGTGTTCCTGCCTTATATCCTGTATTATTAAGCACTTACCACATAGAATTCATTATTTATGGGGCTGGGGATTTAGCTCAGTTGTTCCAGTGCCTGCCTTGTAAGCACAAGGACCCGAGTTCAATCCCCGGTACCATAAATGAATGAATGAATGAAAGAAAGAATCAGTATGTACTGTTATTTCCTCCCAGAGGCCTTTTTGGTAGCACCCATAGAACATTTGTTTAAAGAAGGTTTAGGTGCCTCTTCTGTGTTTCTTTTTTTTTTTTTTTCTTTTTTCTTTTTTCCACCAGTGTTGAGGTACAAACCTATGGCCTCATATATGCTAGGCAGGTGTTCTACTGCTGAGCTCCGTATTTACTTTATTTCATTTTATTTTATTTTTTATTTTTTAATTATTTTTGTTTTTGATTTTGTTTGTTTTTTAAACCGGATTTCACTGTGTAGCCTAGGCACTTGAACTCACATCAGTCTTCCTGCCTCAGCCTCCCAAGGGCTGAAATGGCATACATCATCATGCCTGGCTTGTATTTACTTTTATTATAACACTAAACCGCATTGTTAATTCTTTTTGGTTTGAATTTTCACGCAGTTTTAACTTTTTGAGGAGTCATATCCTTTAAAGCATTATACAGTATTAGTGGTACAGCATATAAAAGGAATTGCACATTTTTGCTGCTTACTAGACACCCTGACTCCACCCCTTGTGCATTGTTTTCTAACCCTTACTGATTAAGTTCAGTGGTGCCGCTGCCAGGTAAAAGGTCCTGAGTTAGATCCCCAGTACCAAAAAAAACAACAAAAAACAAAAACAAAAAAACAGGGTAGCAACTGTAAAGTTTCAGAATATTTGAACCTAAGATGGACAGTTTTACTTTTCCTTCTTCTTCCTTCTAAAGTTGATTTTTTTGATAACCATAATAATTGTGCTTTGTATAATCTTTTGTGGATCAAAAATATTTTAAGAACATCCAATATACTATATATAACCTGCCTTGCTCAAACACTTGAATTAAAAACAGCTTCTTGTGAGGAAGAAAGATACTACATTAAATATATACATGAAAACATGTATATAATTTTCAGAAATGCTAAGATATGAAAAATACATATAGTATATGACTTAGAATAGAATCTTATTCATTACAAATTTGTTATCTTGATACTTTATTTTATTTTTTCATTAAGTTTATTGGTACTTTTTAGGTATACAGTACAGTTACATTCATCATTGGGATCTTGTACCTTTACACAATATATCTTGGTTCTTATAGGATATTTTAAACTTGTTACAAAGTACTGAACTCAGGAAGATACTATCTTTTTTGGATTTTGCTAGTTTAAGAAAAGCAGATAAACTGGTTGTAGTAGCTCATGTCAATAGTCCCTTCTACTTGGGAGGCTGAGGTAAGAGGATCACAAGTTCAAGGCCAACCTGGACAATTTAATCTTGAAATTAAAAAAAAAAAGCTGGGATGTAGCTCAGTGGTAGAGTGCTTCGGTATTTCATACCACCCCCACCCCACCCCCAAGAAAATCAGATTAAAAATTTAGAAACTGTTGCTACTGTTTTTTGTTTGTTTGGTTAGTTGGTTGTTTTGGTACCGGGGATTGAACTCGGGTCCTTGCGCTTGCAAGGCAGGTGGTGGAACCACTTTGCTACATCCCCAGCCCCTTGCCACTGTTGAAAGAAAATAATTTTATTACAGTGTTTTCTGTTCCTAGACCTTTAAAGAATCAAATGAGTAAAAGAAACTCAGTTGGGGTGTGGCAAACAGGGAAATAATGAGTTGTGAGTTCCAAAATTCACCAAAATGCACCTTTGCCAAATAAAGTTTTAAATCTTTTCAGGCTGTCAGCATTAGTAATACATACTTTTATTTTTTTACCAGAGTTTAATTTTTGTTCTTTTCAGAAAATTTTTTTGTTTTGTTTTGTTTTGTTTTTTTGGTACCAGGGATCGAACTTGGGTCCTTGCACTTGCAAGGCAGGCAGTGGCACCACTGAGCTAAATCCTGGGCCCTCTTTTCAGAAACTTTTAAAACTGAAAGGTTGTTTGGATTAAAACTAGCAGTTCTGGGGCCAGGGATTTAGTTTAGAGATTCTGCTGCCCACCTCACAAGCGTAAGGTCTCAAGTTTGATCCCTGGTACTAAAACAAAGCAGTTCTGGTCTTTTATGTGTTCATTAATTTATTGATTTGGTGTAGTAAGTTATAGTTGTATATAGATTTATATGTTACCAAAAACAAATCCAAAGCTGTCAAAAAGTAAGGGGCTTAGTAGTGTCACAGATTGTTCAGAGACAAAATTAACAACCAGGTTCTAGGAAGGAATTCTTAGGTAAACTTGCACAGTATAATCCACAAGCAAATTTCTGAAAATGTTACATTC